AAAATTAAAAACATTCCCGTTAAATTAAATTGCAAATATGTATGTTTGCTTAAAAGGTATAAGGGCTGTTCACGATCTTGTGCATACGATCTTGCGTACACATTCAGCAAGCATAAAATTTGCAAATGCAAATCTTAGACCATTTGCACAATATCCTGAACAGCCCTATTTATTCTTAACAGAACTGACCTGGAGTTTTTCATCTTCCGCCGCCATTATTCTTAACGGTGGACTACGCAAATGCGCTAAGAACGCCACCGGCGCTAGCAGTGATGCTGATACGAATTTATCGTTGTATTCCGGCCTTTCGGAGAGAAGCACGAAAAATACTGTTGATCCTTGAGAATGCGCCACATAGTGCACCTGCTTATTGCCCGTCGTCTCGAGTACATAATCCACAACAGCAGGCAAATCAAAGTAGCCGATCTCGTGCCAGGTGAAGTTCCAAAAGCTCGCCATAGACGAATCCATTGCAATGTGCCTCTTGGAGAAGGTTGTACCGCGAGCATTCGGTAGCCACACATCGTAGCCCTGGTCATTTAAAATACAGCCAAGAGAGCGTGCCCGTCCAGGTAGCACAAAATCTGCGCCAGAGCCTAATAGACCGTGCATGAGAATAAAGGGTTGGCGACTGTGGCTGTGTGTAACATTTTTTGGTGGAATGCGATGTAGGGTAATTTCATAGCCATCTGCAGTGCGCACCAAGTGGCGTTCGCAAACATATTGATTCGAATTGATTATTTGACAAACCAAGTCCTTGGAGACGGCAGGATTGAAGGCATGGACACTAGCGGAAAGTATGAGCATTAGGAGCAATGTATTTGCCAAAGATGACATGCTTCGAGTTAACTGCACTATATGAAAACTGGTATGCTTTGTTGTGTGAAGTATCGGGCGTTGTTGAGTGATATTTTTCTTATGGTAAAATCACGTACAGTCGCGACACAATGTTAAAAGTATTTTATTTTTAACACTAAATAAGTTCTGGATACAAAATTATATTTTTTGGGAATTGATACAAACTGAGTATGCGCCCATATGTACAAATGAATTTATGCATAGAAAAGCAATATATGTATGCTTGCTTGTAACCAAATAATTATGTACGTAACACTGCTTCGCAAACTTTTTATCACGTAGTTTTCTAGTCGACAGCTATTTACAAAATAAGCATTTTACAAATTGGCAAAATTGAAAACAACTTATAAGTTTAAATAAATTTAATAAACGAAATTCAAGGAGAAACAACAACTCTATTTGCAGACTAATTTATTCTCATACGCTTCCGCTACATTCCGCAAGGTTTATGTGATTTCGCGCCTCTTCTATATATTCTATACCTATAGTTTAATTTTTATGCATATAGTAACCATTTACATCATAATTGTTGTTGTGTTTAAAAACTGCGGTTTAAGTGTTTTTATGCATACATACGTAGGAACATATTTTCGTTGTTATTCTTGAGAATATCTATGGTTTTCGTTTTAATTTATTCCTTTACTACCTATGCGCAGCGCATTATGTATGCCTACTTTTTTAATTTGCTTGTACCAAAACATTTTGTTGTCACTTGCAAGGTCTCATTCCGGCAGTATTAATTAGTTCATCTTTCTCACTGTTTTTTTCACTAAAGCAAGCCGCAAGCAGCTTGAGCACCGATTCATAATTGACTGCTCAACGATTATTTTACTCGAGTGCGCATCACCTGAATTTGCTCATCATCCGGTATTTCATTAACAATTGACAGACAGCAGAGGAGGATACTGCACAGTGTTTAACTAGGGCTGCAAACATGTCCAAAAATCGTGGTTCGATTATTTTCGTATACATATGTATGTATGTATGTACGTACTAGAGGTTTCCGCCGACAGGCTTTGCGGCGGCGGCGGTGACGCCGGCGCTACTGCTCATAAGGTAGATTTCAAAGAGCCATGCGGCTACGTTAGCGTTAGGCATTCGCCATGCCAATTATTCTATTATCATAATTCTATTTATTTCATTATTGAATTAGTTTTAAATTTAAATATTGTTACTTCCTACTTGAATTAAAATGTTGAGTGTCTGGCGCTGATTGATGGGCGAACAAAAGAAGGTCTGAGGTATATACATACATACACACACGGATCTCTATGTTCTCTATAGATCCGTATGTACTATTTAAATTTAAAGAAACAAAAAAACTTAAAATTAAAAATTTAAGTCACTCTCAATCAATATTTGCAATAATCTTATCAACCGTTATGTTAAAGTACGATTTTTTGCGGATTACATATTGAAAACAAGGTTGGTCTACTTTTTTTNAAAATTAAAAATTTAAGTCACTCTCAATCAATATTTGCAATAATCTTATCAACCGTTATNTAAAAGTTTAGTTATTGGGGTAATTTAAGTCACTCTCAATCAATATTTGCAATAATCTTATCAACCGTTATGTTAAAGTACGATTTTTTGCGGATTACATATTGAAAACAAGGTTGGTCTACTTTTTTTCCAAAAGTTTAACCCATCAACTCGAACCAGAACGGGCGTAATGAACGAATGTAATGAAAAATAATACTAATGTTTACCAACCAGCAAAACCTTCCCGGGGTTTGACCACCACTAAGGAATGCTAACGTAATTCTCACACAGCCGCCTAGTACTTGTATACGTATGTGGGGCCTCAGAATAAAACAACTTACGAATGTATAATATTAAAAAATACATAGAAAAATCAACTTGTCTCCAATAATTGAGGAGTTAGATGCAAAGAGGCCGGTGTACATCATTCAATAATACAAGGTTCGATAAACTGACAGTTGTCTCTCTCGCACCGCTCCCTTAGCAGTGGCACCGTGTTGCTTCTTTGCACATTTACATGGAAACAGTGTAGCTTCCCTGCAGGGAAACCGCGGACTAGTGAATCAAATTTCTAGTTCCGTACTAGGTCTTTATCGCCAAAAAGGAACTAGTCCGATAAGAACTTGATCCCCACCAGTCCAAATTCGGCGAAATGTGGTACTTTTAAAAAACTATTTTTTTTTCAGTTTTTTTCACTAGAAATCTATATCTAAAGTGACGAATTTAGAAATGGTTCGGAACTATAGAAAAAGGGATGCAGAACGAACTAGATCTTATTTGTCGAATTTAGAACTAGTTTGGAACTATCGAATAAGGGATGCAGCGGGGGGCTGTTTACTTTACATAGATATGTGTTCGGCGGCTTTTTCGTTCAAATACGCTTCTATTCTGTGCTTCGCAGATGCTTTTTCATAGCTTGGTAATATATTATGTATGTATGTATATATGTACATACCGATTTTTAAGTACATACACATATGTATGTATAATGTGACCAACTATTTCATAGATCAAAGAAGTACAGGTTAGGTTGGGTTAAGTTAACGCCGCCAGCCGATTACGAAATTTCGAATGCGGCTAATTTCGATCATTGAGAGCTGAGCATTTTTTCACAAGTGCGAGCCAAAAGGTTTCCACCTAAGCCTCGCGAAGTTTAAAAGGAAGTGTGGAGAGGATTCCACTTCAACTTCCTCTTGACAGCTGATATAAAATGATCAGTCGAAATTTCTAGTCTCACCGCATGAATACCAATCGCACCTTTTGTACCCTTTCCTCAATGTTAGGCTTCCGCCGCCGTTGATCGTCCACCTAGTTACCTGGTTCAGGTTACCTTGAGCTAGATCAAAAAGGGTGTATAGAAATCGTTCCTTAACCAAAAGTTCACATCATCTACATAGGTGATCACCCGACAGCCCACTTTTCCAGTTCCTCTAGAAGGTCGTTTACAACCGCAATCCAGGGCAGGGAAGAGAGAACACCACCTTGTGGAGTGCTCCCATTGACTCCGCCGCGACAGTTCTGTCACGAAGTAAGTATTGCCTCTGGAGTGACATTGTTGAAGGCCCCCTCGATATCGAATAGGCTCCTACTGC